TGTAAAAAAAAAAAAAAAAGTTAATTATGAGCTAAATAATTAACACAAAAAACTACTAATGTTACATTTTGGCGTCAAATTCTCTCTTGTGTGTGTGTGTGTGTGTGTGTGTGTCAGTAACACAGCTAATCCCTGGACTATCCAATGGCCAGAGCTCTTTGGTCCAGCTGGTGACAAGAATCATAATCAAAAAAAAATGTTGTGCTGGATAGTTATTAACGACAAATGGCAGCTCAAGAGGTGAAGCTCACATTATGTTGAGCAGCCTGGGTGTCCATTTAATCCGCAATACAGCCTCAATTAATAATAAAAAAAAGTGTAATTTAACAATTTGAGAGCGAGTGTTTGACACATGTGCGGATTAATGGCTCACGCTGTGCAACTGCACGAATTGTGGTCTATTTTTAGCCGAGAAAAAACAAAAAAAAACAACAACATGCAAACAAAAACAGACAAAAAAAAAAAAGAAGTCTACCTATAAAACAATTCACTGGAAAGTGTCCAGGGTCTTCGGCAGGGGCGAGATCCTGGAGAGATTCAGAGTGAACGGCGGCTCGCACAGTTCTCCGGTCAGAGAGGTAATTCCGTTATCTCCCCGCACTGCCCGCTCCCGTTATAATTTCTCCCCCCGCCGGTGTCTGCAAACGACTTCACGTCCCGCGGACACAGTGAAAGGCGGCGTTTTCCACAAGATCCCCGAAATCTAGTCGAGTTTGAGCCGGAGCGCCGCAACATCCAGAGGACACCGCCGGGTCAACTTTAGCACCCATTTGACCGGATCCATTCCTTTTTGTGGTGGGGGGGTGAAGATTTTAAAAATAAATAAAAACACACACAACGCCTCTGGAGGGGGAGAACTGTCAGCTGTCACATAGTTCGCACCGAGCCGACAGTTGCGGTGCCTGTCTGTGATGAGATGCGGTTCAGCCTAAATTCCCGCACGGGCTGTCATCGCTCCGCGCTCGTCCCATCGCCGCCACGGCAGGTTCACCCCGATACGCATTGGTCTATCTCTGCTGCCTGGGAGAAGCGGCTTTATAAGTACCTTTTTGAGACGACACTTCCGGTCTGGGCGGGTGGCATGCCGGGAGATGTAGGCAAAGGCGATTTCTGTCGGAAACTATTAGTAAAGATAGATGGAAATACTTTATGTATCCCCGAAGGGAAATTATAGTGTTATAGCAGCTGATTCAGAGTCAGTTATTATTATTATATTTATAATATTCTAATAATTTATATTTATTATTATAAATAGACTGCAGTGTGACATTAAAAGAGGAAGAGGTTGTTGTTGTTTTTTGGTGGTGTTGTTATCAATAACAATGAGAATTTCAATTATTGTAGTGTTGTAGTAGCATTTTCTACTGATTAGATAATATTCCTCACAGGTTTTAACTTAAAAATGAATTCATAAAAACTTAATAATAGTAGGCTATTAACCCAACTTATGATTATTAATCTATTCGGCTATTTTTTGTTCAGACCATGCTGTTTAGCCTATATAATGGTATGTGTGGATGGTTTAGATCTAATAATAAAATGTAGCCTAATAATAAGCTGTAATTTAGCTTCGGCATTATCAACATTCAAGCTTATTTTTATGTTTATTTAAATTTCTTAAAGTGCTTTCCGGGCAGGTCAGATTGCTGTAACCAGTGATAAGTAATCAATAATCAGTATTGTCTATCATATTTGGTTCTGTAGGGATCATTTGTCCATATATCATGTTAAAAAGGAGGCTAAGTGAAAAACCTTTCTTTGTACTGTAACTTTGATGTTATCTTTTAAATACTCAAAACACTTATTTAGTTTATTTAGTGGTTATTTCTTTATTTACTTTCCTTTCACTGGCACTTTGAAACCCCTCCTTGTGTCCCTGTGGAAAGCCGGCTCCTCCGCTCCTCCGCTCCTCCGCTCTCCGCTGTCTGTTTAAGCACCTTGGAGAACTCCGCTCCGCAGCGCAGACGGCGAATCGGAAACGTGCGTAAACTACGTCGAATCCGGAAGAACCAAATGCTGCACTGACTGGGACTGCCTTGTCTGCACCCTTTGTTGACGACGCTGGCAGGTTGTTAACCGCTTCAGCTTTTGCCTGCGTCTCTTTAAACTACACCCCCCTCCTCCTCCTCCTGCTCTCCTCCTTCCTCGCTGCCTGGAGATCAGAGGTGCCATGGAGGCTGCAGGGGACATTTAGAGTGATGCTTTGTGGCTCATATTCATCATTCGCCTGGTAAGATGACAACACCGTGTCTTGCGTATCTCTTGCACATTCTCGGCTGTTTATCACAGCAGCAGCAGCAGCGCGCAGTAAAGCACCTGTTAGCCGTGTGGTTGTGCCATGTTGTGGCGTAACAAGATGCTCATGTTGTTATTTTATCTCCATGCTGTAGATCGGGTTTCACCGGATTGGCCGAGGCGCATGCCATTCAATACACACTCTGCCCTGCGTGCATGGGTCGCGGTATAAACAGCATGGCCATCGCACATTCCTCTGGGTCTAAATATATCTATTAAGGCCACAGGAGGGGGGAGGACTGGTGTTGGAGGTGGGGGGTAGGTGTGGTGGTGGAGGGGGGGTGAGGTTTATCCTGGGACATTTCACTGTCGTGGTGGACTCGCCACCACTTGAATTATCTTTCCGGAGATTGACAATCGGTTGTCGCACCCACAGAGGAGAAATTGGCCCTATCCAAACATGCCCTCGAGTTACAATGCGAGATCCAGGGCGCGGGAGAGAAACAGCGTCCTGAGCAGACCTGAGTTCATGTCCCTGAACCAGCCCCTCCGCGGCGGCGGCGGGAGCGGGAGCGGCGG